ATAAACAAAAAGTAGTTTAATAAAATTTTGAATGTAAGACACTAAAACCTTGTGTCATGTACAGTAAAGAATACCCGTGGCGATAGGGTTAATCACTTAGCTCTAATGACATGTTGTTACAGTTTCCAATGGAATAATAATAAAATTAGTTCTCACTTAAGAATATGTAATTTCTCTTTCATAAACTTCAAGTCTGTAATTTATCAGAATTACTGTATGAATGCATTGTTCTGATGACAGTACAAGACTTTGGTTTTAATATATATATATACTAATTTTTTTAGGAGTAAGTTTGCTACAAATATTAAAAACTGCTTTTATATATATATATATATAGAAGTATTTAAATTTTTTTAAAAATTAGCAAAATTACTAATGCAACTTGGATGATTTTTGGTAAAATAATGTTAATTTGAGAGGAAGTAGTGGTTAACTACTGTTGTAACTACAATTTCAGAGACTGAAGAACCAACTTTTAAGATACATTTTTGTGACACTGCATTTGCTATAATGGTATTGATTACATAGTAAAACAAAGTGAAATACTTTCACTTACTGATTAACATGTAGATACAAGGAAAGAAAAATTGAGAAATGTTCGTAAACATCATCATTCAAACTTACAGAAAAAAATTAACACTTTGTAGTTATTGATGTCTGTTTGTACATAAGTGTACCAATAACCCAATTAAACTGCTTTCCCAAATAATGTGGAAATAGTTTAGTTTCACTGGTCTCCATGGCAGTATTTAACTCTGATGATATCGTTTCAACTAGGTAGTTAGTATTTTTGATGTTTTAAATTGCTTAAAAACAGTATTAAGTCTCCTGGCACCAATACATGGCTCAATACAAAAAACTTTTACATATATTAACTATGAAATAAATTTGAACAAATTGTTTTTTAAAATCATAACTGTGTTGTTACATTTTATTATTCCAACATATTTTGGTTACTTCATTTCAAATATTAATTGTTAAGTTAGGATACTGAATATGCAGTTTTGTTTTTTTTTTGCACAGTTCCACTCTCATCTTACTTAAGATACTGTTACAGTAGATCGTCACAGTTTATCATTTGCCTAGTTGTCTCACCAGTGTTCTGGATATGAGATGTTAGTTATTCTTCTCATATTATTAAAAGGAAGTACAAATTAAAAGTTTATAAGTAGCTCTGAAATACGTATGATGGGAGTGTTTGTTTTAGCTTTGTTTTTATTTTCACATGATCTTGTTTATTTTTACAAAATTAAAAAAAAACTTGTAATATAAGTAGGAATTCTTATTCAGCTTATTAGATAATAAACTTATTATTACACTACATTGAAATGTTACATGTTTTGGTGAAGTATTGTGAACTTCACAGAAAACCCCCATCAGGTCATCATAGTCTACATTTACAATTCTTGCCTTTAGTAGGAAAAAACAGTATTTTTACAATTACTGTATCATACAATACCTGGTATATAGGTTGGAGGAGTTGAGGGTAAATAACTTGTAGCTGTGAAAGCTGTGCCTGGATAAGAAGCATAGGGGAGACTCATACTGGGATGATGAGCAACCGGTGGATAACCTGGGGTAATTTGATTACTAACCCCATATCCTGGATATTCTGTTTAAAAGAAAGGATACTGAGTTTATCAACTGATTTTCCATTCAGCTAATAATTGAAATAAAAAATACAATAACATGTAAAACAAATAAACACACACAAATATTATTCATGGGGGAAAGAATTAAGCAACTTTTTCATGGACTAGAACAATAAAAATTGTTGGTTTAAATGAAATACTATATTTCCTGAAAATTATCATTCTTAAGTTTGAAAAAATTGAAGTTGATGTTTCCATTCTTTTTAACCTGACATTAACGTCCTATCAAACAAAATAACTCTGCTTCAGACCTATAAGTAAAACCTTGGAACTCTTAAACCTGCAAACTTCATTTAACCTTCAAGTATGTTCATTGCACTTTTTAATTCGCAACTTTTTCATTTTTAAGTAGATATTAAGATCTAAACAAAATTTGAAAGTTATAAGCTACAAAGACAAGGTGTGAAATATCAAAGGTACATGTATTTTACAAGCAAGCAAGATTTTCAAGTAGTTGTACTGTCTCAAGAAAAAAATTAAGATGTTTCACTCACTAACATACACAACTGCCACAGACAATTGATAGTGAACACCAAAAAAAAAGACATGTTAGTTCATTATAGAAAACCAATGTTGTTCACAAGTTCTACAGTTTAAGGGACCCACATTCTCTTGTACCAAAATTAAGGGGACACAGTAAAAAATTTTGAGGGATACCCTTCAGACAAAAAAGTATTACTAAGGATGAACAGTTATACTTAGTTAATGGAATAGGATTGTGTTTTGGTAGTTACTTCCGCATTAAACTAGTTATTGTTACAATTCTCAAACACCATTTAAATTTTCACAATGAAACCTTTTAAGTAATCTACATAGATGTGATACATTAGAAATATGTATGTTAACTGTGCTCAACCTAGAACATTATGGTTTGGTGCATCATTATCTCATTGATATTAACTTTATAACTGGTTGTTTGGAGGTTTTCTTGAGTTATATTAGTATGGTAATTTTGTGTGTATTTTATTATCCATCAGTAATGTACATCATGCTACAAATGTTCTTGTCCAGTATTCCCTTTCTTTTATGCATAGACTTACAGTAACAAACTATACAGAAATGTAAAAGTAGTCATGGACCTGACATAAATCTGGTTGGAATAAGTTCTTTGGTGGTAAGTAAAATAGATTGAGAGACTAAAAATGGATAAAGCAACAGAACCAGGAAAGATTTCCCAAGTGTTCTAAAGGAAGTCAAACATCAGTTATGTAAGTGTCTCTCTCTTTCATTCTTGGTATGTCAATAGACAGTGGGTTGGTGTCTGAGGATTGGAGGGTTGCTAAAAGTTACTCCTATTTTTAAAGGGGATGCAAAGGCTTCAAATACAAATCACAGAACCAGTTAGTCATCTTTCTCAGGTTGGAAATATATTAGAGTCTGATAAAAGAAGTTTTACGAAATCATTTAGTGAAATAAGATAAGAAAAAAGGGAAATCTTGGCTAATTAACCTGTCATCTTTTTTGTGAGGATGTTACTCATTACCCAAATGATAAAAGAAAGTGGACTTGATGTAATTAAATTTTTGTAAATCTTTTGTTGCAATGCCACATAGAAGTTAAGAAGATCATATCAGTTGGAGTTGAGGGAAAATCCAGTTAATTGGATTGTAGGGTGAGTGGGCAAAAAAAGTTGTTTCAATGGAACCCATCAAATCTAGACTTTTGTTGTTAGTGGACTCTCCTCAGGGTCAATGCCTGGGCCTTTGTTTTTCCTTATTTACATTTATGATACTGATAGGGACATAGTAAAGTTTGCTGATGACATTAAATTCTTAGGTATTTCATGCTCTATTGAGAATGTTTAAGAACTACAGAATGAATTGGAACAATTGGTAATCTGGACAAATAGTTGAAGAACAACCTTTAAGTATATTAAGTGGAAGATAATAATCTTGAGTTATTATAATTTGAATCCCACATTTAATGTAAATGGGAACCTATTCATTTGAGTTACTGAGAAAAGGATCTTGACATAGTGGTAGGTAAGTCTCTCAAGCTGTTGAGATAATGCTCTGGTGCTAATAATAAATCTAATCAAATTTAAGGATGTATTCATAGAGGTACTGGTTACAAGTTAGAAGAGGTAATTATCTCTTTATACAAATCACTAAATAGGCCTTATTAGGAATATTGCATAAATTTTTTGTGTATCCTTATGCAAGAAAGGATATTGCCTTATTGGATATGGTTTAGAGGAGGACTATGATGATTATTCCAGGGATGGAAGGGTTATGTTATGAGGATAGTTAAGGTCTTAACCTTATTATACCTTGAGAAAAGGAGGGTAAGAAGGTGTCTTATTATTGAAGTTTATAAAGTTATATGGAGAACTGATAGAATAAATAACCAATGTTATCATTATTTTTTGATTATTCCAGCCACACAAGTCATGTGAGAATGATTGATTAGTTGAATGTAATCCATTAATAAGCTCAACAATCAATCAACTAGCAAATTCCACTAACTGTCCAGCTCTATTGACAATTGCACTGGCATTGAGAGAATTTATGACATGCCCTTCTTTCATGTTGAAAAATTATACAAAAATATTATTACATATTTTAATACAACTCCCTTAACTACTGTTTATTTTACTATTACTTACTATAATAAGATATCACACACACAATTTTAAATGATTATATTCCATTGCTACAACTTGTTTCTGGCTTGGGGAAAAAAAAAAAGAAGCGTTTGCTCGAAACTTTGTCAATTAAATAAATTACTACCATAATTTTTAAAAGTGATTTTTCTCTTAAAGTCTAATTTGTACGTGATTAGTTTCAATTTATTTTCCATTCAAATATCTCACAAATAATTTAACACTTTTTCATACAGATAATTCTTTTGACATCATGAAAACAGTTAATGCATTTGTTGAATGGTAAATTTTACTCTCCTTTAGACTGTGAAGGAAGTACAAATATTATGTTTTATTAGAGCATGATCAGCAGGCTTATAGAAATTGCTTATAAAAATATTTACCATATTAGCATTTTTCCAAGCACTTACTAGAATTTCTGTTAAACTGTCTTCATAAAAATTCAGCCTATTTTTGACAAAATCAACACCCCCTCCTCCACTTTTATGATATTGTAGATGACCTTAAAACCTTCTACAAACTGCTAGCTTTAGTGTAACTATATTCACATAAGGAATCACACGCTATATTTCTCATTTTTGATATAAAAGTTTACCTTAGTTACTATATACAAGCATCTGAAATATATGTTTCTAAGTGAAAAATCATGCATAAGATCCATTTTTAATATTTTGCATTTACCTAAACAAGAGCCTAAACCCTAACTCTTGCCACTTGTATTGTGCAACTTGAGTTCTGACTATCATCAGAACACATTTTATCTATAAAATATACCACTCACAAAAGTGAAATAGTAATGTACAATTACCTAATCATAGAAAAAAACTAGAAATTTTTTTATGGTTGAATTTATAAATGAATATACTTGAAATTATTAAAAATATTTTCACCAATTGTAACTACACAATGTTAGTAAATTTTTCATTTAAAAGTTTTTCTTAATCATAATACTAGTGATCCAATGTCAATTGAGTTGAGAAACGTTGTATGGAAAAAAATGTTAATTCATAAATCTGAATTTTTTGTCAAGCACAGAAAAAGTGGAACCTGTCTTGAATTTTGGGCAAATGAGTAATACATATAGAAACTTTTTAATGCATCCACTGTTCTCAGTATGAAAATTAAATACCACACACTAAAAGTATTAACTTAGATATTAAAACACCACATATATAGACAATAAAAGGCAAGTTGGTCCTACAAGGCTATCCTTGAACACCTATCCTTCAGAAAAGTAAAAATTTAAACCCACCATTTAATTTTCAGGAAATCATCAATTAATTTCTTAAACAACTGTAAATTACCAGCTTTCATTACTACTGATGGAAACTCATTCCATAAGACAATCACCCTGTTAGAAAAATAAAATTATCTTGAATAACCCTAGCCTGTCTTCTAATTTAAACTTCTGTTTTCTTATCCTATTATCTTCAGAATATAGCATACAGAAACCAGAAACCCTTATCTTATTGGTCATCTAGATAATCTTGTGAACTTAAATAAGATCACCATTTAGCATTCTTTATTATAAGTGTCATGTTGGTTTTGCAACTCCTTTTTGAACTACATACTAAGGCTAAATACAAGAAGATGAGTACAGTGAGACTCACTCAGACTCAACTTGTTTGACTGGTTACCAAGGCTTAGACCAGCTGTCTATAATCACACTATAACATAACACTTAAGGACAAGGAGCCTCTTGGACCATTGAGGCTATCTTATTCATTATAAAAATACCCTTAAAGTCAGGTTTTATCATTTAAGTATTTATTGATCCTTCCCTTAACTCCTTTAAATTTACTGCCTCCAACAAATCTGGAGGCAACCATTTCAAAGGACAGTCATGGTTAAAAGTTAGATGAGTAAAACTGTCTAAGCTAAAGATGACTCCTATCCTGCCAAAATATATATCTGTACCCTCTAATTCTATCATTCTCACCATTAAATAAAAAAATTCCTTTCAAAATCATACTGCCTCCACTAGATCCTCTCTAACTATTCTTTCTTCAAAAGAAAACAAATTCAGAGATTTATAGCTGTCCTTGTATGACAACCTGCCAGTCTCAGGTATCATTTAAATTGCCATCATCTGAATCCTTTCTAACAATTCAATATGTCCTACTTAGAGTAAAGAGCCTAAGAACACAATGCTCTAAATGAGGCCTAACTAGTGACTATACAAGGAAAGTATAACCTCTTTGGATTTATATTCAATATTTCTCCGAGTCATATTTGCCCTACCACTAGCAACAGAACATTGCTTGGATGACTAATCAACCAAGATCCTGTTCTTCCATAACACCAGTAAGGTTATTTCCATCAAGAATATACTTATAATTCAAATGATGATAAACCATGAACTTGCATTTATTAAATTCCTTTTGTAAAGCTAGAGCATGAAAATCAAGGCCATGCTCTATGCCTGTTTCATTCAAAAGTTTAGGTCAAGGCCTACCTCAAAAGTCCAATGTCATCAGTAAGCCTTACTAACTTTCTAGTCACCCCTAACAACATCAATAATGTGAGAAAAAAAGGAAAATTGCATGCACTGGCTCTTAAAGTGCTCCACTAGTAACAAGAAGCCAATTTGACTGACCTTTATTCAAAACAACCTTTTTAGTTTCTCTCATCCAGTCACCCTGCAATTAATTTAACTAGACTTAAACAATCCTGATTAATGTGATTTTCTTAGCTAATTTTCTGTGAAACACTTTATCAAAAGTTAAAACTAAAAAGTATACAATTTACAAACTCCCCACTCTTCCATCATCCAATAATGAAACTTTGAGTTTGAAAGAAAGAGACTTGCATATCTATGGCCTCCCTTTAAACCCTTGGGAAAGGCACTGCCCAGCCCTGATGTTTTTCATTTCTCACTATTTACGCTTACCACCTAACGTTATTCGAATTAGATTAGTGTTATTAATTCAAATTAAACCACATAAAAATTAGAATGCAGTTTTATGAATTATTAATATTTCTCTTGTAAACAAAAAAAGAGAACTGTATTTAACTGCATTTATCTAAAACATCAATGCTTAGTCTTTTTTCCGTTTTTGCTAATAAAACTTTTTAAATGGAAAACTATGAAAACACACGATAATATTAATAATTTGTATGTAAGTAGTAACTGTAAGGTTTATCACTCATGTCACGATGACAATCACGTTAGCTGTTAGTGTTACTGTTAGGCCTAACCCTGCACCAAAGCAAAGATATATTTAATTTTATTACATATTTAGCTTCTGGGTATTCTTTATACTGGAGGAATTATATTGGAGTAGTAAGCTTGAAAAAGAGGAGTAAAAACAGCTTATGAACTTACCTTTTTTTTCAGATGACATTAAAAATGTAGAGAACGTACATAAAATAAAACCCTTTTTTTTATGTAATTAATAAGCTAGTACAGAGTTACGATTGCGCATGTTCCGTATTCAGTAGTTACGACGTCCGATAAGTTCAATTTCGCTTATGACAAGCCATCGGGGCCATATTGTATATCATATTCGTCCATAAACTAACGTAAAGTGTGAGTATTGTTATTTGCATGTAAAAAGCGGTTATTAGGCTTACATTTATCAGGATATGTACGTGATATAAATACAATTTAAGATATGTATGGAAGTTAAAAGACAAAACTGTTAACACATCTTTCCGATATGATATCATGTCTTGCGTTTCGAATCTTTCGATTCGTTCTATTCGAGTTTGTTTTATTGCATTTTAGCAGCTCCTCATGGAAAAAAAATCCCCATAATTTGTAGTTTTAGAATGGTATTGATTTGACTTTTTTTTCTTAGATATGAAAAATTACGGTCCAGGATAAATATTAGGGAAGGTCGAATTACAGGAAACAAAATTTTTGTTGTTTGGCCTTAAACTAAATATTACATATTCTGTCACACCTTCATCTACTTCTGAAGTTCTGGAATAGTTTTGTTTCCAAAGATAAGTACTATTCAAAATGTAGCTGTATAGTGAGAAAAGTGCAATAATCTACATTCTAAAATTATAATTTACTGTTTAATGAAAAATAAATATATCATTATGGCAAAATGTTACGTACCATTCTATGCTGCGCCGATAGTGCTGTGTATTTGTTTGTTCCAATAAAATCCAAGAATTATTTATTGGGATTCCGAATACACTGTTCCAGGGTTTGAAAATATTCCTCCCAGACACAGCCGTAGCTAGAGCAAAAATTTACCCGAGGTTCAAACAACAACAAGTACATAGGATCTTTACTTTTTCAATATGGATGTAATATCAAATAGTAAGTTACATTTAATTTCAAATTTTAACCGAGGTCCGTACCTCGATGACCTCATAACTAGCTGAGGCCGGGCCCGGCATGGCCAGGTTGTTAGGGCTCTCGACTCGCAATCCGAAAGTCGCGGGTTCGAAACCCCGTCTCATCAAACATGCTCGCCCTTTCAGCCATGGGGGCATTATAATGTGACGGTCAAACCCACTATTCGTTGGTCAAAGAGTAGCCCAAGAGTTGGCGGTGTGGTGATAACTAGCTGCCTTTTCTCTAGTCTTTTACTGCTAAATCAGGGACGGCTAGCGCAGATAGCCCTTGTATAGCTTTGCAAGAAATCCAAAACAAGCAAACAGTAGCTAAGGCCGTACCCTCAGGTGTCTCAATCATGTCAATCTTTCTCACAAACATCATAATCACGTGATCCGCACTTATATCCTGGTAGGCAAAATACACCATCTGTGCAAAAGACTAAGTTGTCAACTTTACCGAAAAAAGGTATTTATTATTATAATTAACGTTTCGGGCTGTCGCCCATACTCAGAACTAAAGCAGGTTATCGAACTTTACGACAAACTGTGGATAGAACAGCATGAGGTTCAAACTACAATGTGTATATACTAGTAAGCACGTGTAACAATGTTGTATGCAGGCATATCATGCATTTTCTACTTTATTACTTTAATACAGAATAAATAAACAAATTTTCAGAAGTATGTATAGTTCTCACATAACTCATTTATTATGAAAACTATTACGTTTCTTTTGCTCTATTTTCTAGTAACTTATTGTTTTGTATCATCCCCCTGTAGGATTGTGTATAGCATATGAAAGTAAACGACAGTTTTCTCCAGCGAAAAGTCAGGGGTTAGAACGTCTCTTGTTTTTAATGGGAATAACCAGTCACATTGATAGCACAAATCATTCTGGGTAAGCATGATGTTAACGCTTTAATTATGTAATGTAATGTTTCCACAGTTTGGTTAGAAGTGCTTATCGAATATAGTCTAGAGAGAAATTGCACAGATTAGTTTTCTATTAAAGATGGCTGTCTCTTGTGCTAAAGTAAGTACATGTCTGTTTCAATAAAGATTGTTTAATGTGTTTTGTATATTTGCGTCCAGCCTTTGTCTTTCTCACAAACTCAATCAAAGTCATAGCATTTAGAATTATTTCGTTGAAAGTATCTTGTAAACCTCCTGCAGACCTCTGAACGGAAATCAGATTTAGCTGAGAATACAACAACAACAACACACATACACACACACACACATATATATATATATATATATAGTCTATCAGATTGTTGTGACTTTCTGTATTGTTGGGCGGGTTTTTTTTATTACTTGGTAGAAATAATGTCAAGCCTAGTCTACATAACAATAACGAGTTATTTTATTTCTTCAATAACGTATGCTACAGGCTACGTTAACTTGTAGAACTAACTTCACGAACAACTTTTTAAGAAAAATTCCGAGATCAGTGGAGGCTTTATTTACTTGCATAATTTCCTAGCTAAGCGATCAATAACGAACACGCACATTTACTAACTGGTACTGCACTGATTCATTCATTGATTACTTTAAACAACATAAATTTCATACATCAGTGATATTTATATTGTAGCCTTCTTTCTACAAATCACACGGAATTTCTTTCAGGTCTGTGCTTGGGACAGCTGCCCCACTTGGTCTTCCCTAGCTAGCTAATGGATGTATGGGTTGATCTTGAACATGAACAGAAAATTAAAAAAGAAACGTACCTGGAGTCATTTACAGTTACCCAGATCATTCTACAGAATAACTTGAACAACAATTCCAATATATATTTGTAAAAATAATTTAAAAAATGCTAATTATTATACATGTAGGGACATAAATATTGATTTACTTATCTGATAATAATAATAATTACTTCAGTTGTTACTTAAATACCATTGTTTCTGAAAGATATATTCTCCTAATTTCCAGACTAACTAGAACTATATTAACAAATCATAGTTTATCTATACCAACAATTCTCTTAATCAGATTATAAGTGATATAATAATTCATGATGCATCCGATCTTCTACTCGTATTTCTTCTAATTAAAAATGCCAGGTTATTTAAAAGTTTAATTAAATTAAGAATAAGGGATATGAGAAATTTTAAGGATAGTGCATTAAATAAACTTATTACAAGCAATATGTTCACTTAATATAAAAACAGGTGGTATAAATGAGGTCTTGAAAGAACATTTTACAAATTTCATTTCTGTAACAGATAAGCATGCACTTTTTTAGAACAATGATAAAGAGAGAGAAAGTAGTCGTAAAACTAAATCATGGGTAATTCCAGTTACATTAAACTATTAAAATCAGACAAAAAAAATATCAAACATACTAATTAAGTGAAAATAATACAAAAATGACTCAAACTGAATCACATTAAAGAAGTCTCTAAAAGAGCGTATTATAATAAGTATTTAATAAATAATAAAAATAATACAAAAAAATGGTAGGCTATTAATGATGTAGTTAAGGTTGAAAGTGATATATATATAAGCCCAGTTAAAGTTTATTCAAACAATTCAAAATTCCTGATTACTGATGTAGTTTATATATGTAATATTTTTGATGCTCACTGTTTAACATATGAATACGTATGACATTATAAAAGAAAACTCAACCAATGGATTTGAAAGTTTCTTTTAAAATTAATATTAACTTCCAATCACAGCAAGCTAAACAAGAAATCATCTGACATTCAGTGTAGATAATTAAATATACATTTTTACTTATAAAGATTATAATACATTGTTTTATCAGTTGGATATCATCACTGTTTAAGAGTATTTTTGATCTTAATCCCAATAACATCTCCCAACGTTTGGCCAGCTTAGAAGAGTTAAGTTATTCCTAAATACATATATTAAGCTAATGATGTAAAACAATCTCTATAACAAAATCATAATAATAAACAATAAATCAAGATAAAATGTAATGACATTCAATATACTAAATAGTATAACCAATGAAAGAAACAATAAATAAATAATATATGTTACCTAGGGAACACAGAAACACTAGCTGTTTGCTTGAACTAAGGTCACTGAAGAAATATTAATGATAAATCAATCTTCTTAAATCCAGTTACAACTGGTGAAATTCTTCTTTTGATTAACAGAATGGATATTCATTAGGCCACAGGTCATGAAGGCATACTCACAAAGTTTTCTACATCTGGTCAGGTTTTAGCTTCAAGTCTGCATAATTTATATACCAATTGCTTAGTGATACCCAGATGTTCTGTACTTAAATCAGATTGTCCATGTTCTATATATAGGTATAGACCTATCTCATTTGAAAAGTTAATTTATACAAAACTGGAATCCTTCTTTAACAGTTAATTCTATTATAAGTCAATATTAATTTAACTTTCATAAAAGTTACTTGCAGTGTCAAAGTTTTATAATAAATTATTATAATCATTGGATTCTGGTTAGGTGACTTGTGTCATCTTTTTGGAACTATGAAAGGTATTTTATAGTTTACAACATGACATACTACTAGGTAAATTATATTATTATGGTACGAGTTTCTTGTAGAAAAGCCACAATGGGCTATTTGCTCTGTCCACCTACAGGAATTGAACCCCTGATTTTAGTGTTGTAACTCTGAAGACTAACTAAAAGTAAACAATATACATCCATCAGAATTTTTCCATTTGATAGTTTAAATATCAATTGTGGAGTTTAACAAGGATCTGTCTTTGGAGCACTTTAATTTATTATTTATACAAATTCTTTAATAAATTCTGGTTCATTTATCATTAGACTGTTTACTGATGATACTAACGTATTTACAACCAGTAATAACTGGATGGATTTACAACTAATAGGTAATGGGAAAATACTTCACATAGATAAATAGACACTAGTAAATAACCATTCAATTAGTTTTAATAAAAATAGATATATGATTTGTTCCTTTGGGATAAAAAAAAATTGTTATTGAATAAACTAGTTATATCAAATATCTGGGGAATATTATTGATAAATTACATTGGAAACAACCTAGAAAGATGATTGGTACTAAACTGTGAAAAACTACCGGCATTATGTTAAAGTTGTGTTAAATATGAAAGTTTTACAGGTGGTTCATCATGTACTTGCA